CACACACACACACACACACACACACACACACGGTTCAGATGGAATGATTTATTCATAATCATGATAGCATAATAAAACAATTAACATTGAAAGCACTGACAGTTGAACCCAAGGCCTCTCACACACAGCATGCACCACCCTGACCCCAGCATTCACAGAGACACTGAACATTCCTAACGCCAAGAGACTCCTGGCTTCTTAAAGTCCTCCTCTTTTTAACTCTCTGCCCCAGTCAGTTTTTTCCTTGTTCTTTTTTAATCCTTTAAATATATTTTGATATAAAAACAAGCCCACATATGATGAATTGACCATGTTTGAGAACTGCCTTCCCCCCTTCTCCTCCTGGTATTGTCCTGCTGCCCCACCGCCGGCTCCTCTGGACTGTCTCGATCGGAGGACAAACATGATACTGGTCCCCACATCCTCCTTCTTCCTGTTCACGCTCTCTCTTTTTGGACATCTGAAAAAAAATGCATACAGTCTGATGGGGGCATGTTGGAGGTGGGGGAGAAAGCACTAAAAATGGTTTGATAACCTCCCTGAAAAAAACCCCGAAAGCAATAAAAAAAGATCTCTTAAAAAAAGCAATTAAAAAAGCAAACCACAAAAAGTCCATTGAAAGAAGTGCTGGAGGGAAGTCTGGAGCTCTGTAGACTGGAGGCACTTTGGCACAGAGCGAAGGCCCCACACCTGACACCACGCCGACGGGAGGGAGGGATTGAAGGAAGGATGGAATGACAAGAGAGATGGGCTGAAAAGGCATGCAGAGCCACATCGTGATACGGAGAACCGGGAATGAAGGAGGGATGAGGGGGAAGAAGAGAGAGCACCTGACAAACGTGGAGGAAAAGGCCAGCCTCCCCTCCAGTTAATGCCATGTTCAGGAGAGGAGGAGGATACAATAAAGAAAGAGGGATCTTCATGAGGAGAAACCATGAGAGGAGAAAGAGAGAGGGAGTGAAGCGGCAGGTAAAGAAGGAGGGAAGAGTGCTGGCCCATCGAGAGAAGAAGAAACTGGCCAAAGCTATACAACACAAACAGGAAACAGTCCGTGTGTGGAAGTAGAGGACGGCTAGTGGGCGTCTGAGGTCGAGGAAGGGGAGGGGGCACAGTGCGGCAGTCCCACAGGTCAACAGGCTGGGCGGGCAGGAGGAAGGCGCTGTGGTCCCTCTTCTTCTCCTCCTCCTCCTCCCGCTTTACAGCATCGCTCGGCTGCTTCTCACCCCACTCCCCCTCTTCTCTCCCCCACCCCACCCTCTCCCGTGCCTCCTCTTCACAGGTAGAGCTCCTTGGCTCTGATATGCTGCAGCTTCTCCCTCAGCATGCGGAAGGAGGGCCGCACCACGGCGTCCAGGGTCCAGCACTGCTTCATCAGGTCATACACGACGGGCGGGCAGCCGTCCGGGGCGTCCATCTTGTAGCCCTTCTCCACCCGGGGCACCACCTCCTTCAGCGGCTGAGACACAGAGACGGAGCGAAGGTACATGTAAGATTCTCAGAATGAGCGTTTGGGTCGCCGATGCAACTGAATGACTCAACAAAGGTTATAATTTACAATGACATGTTAGTAAGTATGTTAATGGGAATGTATAAAGTGGTGAAGCATGGAGAAATTATTTAATTCATAATTTACAGAACATAACGCGTCACATTTTCATCATGAGCTCCAGCAGTTAAAGGGCAGAAATCTAATTATTTTTAGGTCATCTCTGACGCATGAGACTTCATTTCATTCATCTTGTACTAAAATAAATTTAATAAAAAAAAGTGGTCCCAGCAAATGAAGCCTGCCATCTGCTGGTACACCTCAAGCCTGCCTGATCCAGAGAGACCTGGTGCTCAGGTACTTGTAAAGTGCTTTGAGTAATCGAGACTAGAAAAGCGCTTTATAAACACAGAGCAATTACACTTTTACTTACAATTCTAGGGTAAGGCACGCGCCCAAACGAGTAGATCTCCCAAAGTAGGATCCCGTAACTCCACACGTCCGACTTGGTGGAAAACCTCTGTGGGACAAAAAAGAAGAAGAGGCTAAATTCACTCACTGATCAAAAGGTGTTCAGAGGAGCTTGGTTCTTCTTCTACCCTACAAACTAGGCCTCTCGTTTGAACATGTGGAACACAACATCATAATTTAACCCCTACACATCAGACCTTTTCTCAGACTCCTGCTCGAAAAACACATGCCAAAATTAATCGAGTATATCTCTGCAACTACAGGGTCTATATGAATTATCTTTGTGCTTATACAAAGGTAACACTTGTGAGATTTCTCCAGATGTGTGAGCATCAGTATAAATGTTACTGGACCAGAGTAAATGAAGACGGAACATAAATATGGAAAATAAAGACTTCATGTCCCCTATGAAATCATGCATTCTGAAGCCTAAAACATCTGAACATTATCTGTGCCAGATTCTATTCAAATAAGGTGAGGCAGAGCAAAGTGACAGAGGTTTTATTAGAGATATGTAAAGATGTAATCTCCAAATCTGTTATGCTGCTTCTCCACCTGAACATTGCAGGAGCAAACTATTGGCTAAAAGCAGTCAAATGGATTTTATAAACACAGTGAGCCTCGTCAAAGAACCACAAGTACCAAGAGATCCTCTCTTAATTGGGAAATATGACTGATTCAAGAGGGAATGCATTTGCCAAGTTTTTCTTACTTACAAATTATATTATAATATCTGTTGTATGAGTCATGCACTTAGAGTCTGCCTCTCTTAAATGAAGGAATGAAAATTCATAATACCTTAATCTGAAATAAAAAGATAATAAACAATCTTTATTAAACCACGTTATTTCTGTCCCCTTATTGCTGTTACCTGTCTGGTGCACAAGTTAAAATAGGTGAAAACAAATGCAACAAAAGCCAAAACACACGTGTGATACTGGTCCAGCCTCCGTCCTCTCACCTTCTCTCTTAGTGCTTCAGGGGAGGTCCACTTGACAGGCAGCTTGGCAGTGTCCTGAATGGAGGAAGCCTCCTTGGTGAGGCCGAAGTCGCTGACCTTTGCGATGTTGTCGTCGGACACCAGCACATTACGGGCTGCCAGGTCTCTGTGGACGAAGTTGTTGGCCTCCAGGTACTCCATGGCTTCACACACGTCACTGAAAGGAGAGATGAAGAGTGAGACAACTGATGAAAGCCCATGGGTTAATGTCTGCTTCTTAATCTACATGGACGTATCTGTGGCTACAATCGGAGGGAAAAACTAGACTCGGATCTGCTTTGTTTGCTTCATGTTCGTGCAGTTAAAATCAATTTTTTGAATCTTTCATGACTCTTTAAAATGTTCATTCTCAGGTTTTATGGCTGAAAATGAATCATGAAACCTCCCTGTGAATGCATGTTTTTATGCCTACTGATCTGAGAGTAACGGTGATAATAGTTTCAACTTGTGTGAGGCCACGGTTCTGAGCTCCATGACTGTTAAATAAAAAATAAAAAACTTAAATGCACTTGACGTGGAGATAAAGCAGCCATTCATCCCTGCATGATGGCTGCTTGTGTAAACAAATGGGCCTTTTATGTTGCCAGTCAAGTGCATTTACACTGTTCTTTTGTAAATTCATTTAAAATCTCGTCAGCTAAAGAGCAGTCGTTAAGCTGTATACCCTGATCTGTGCTGACTAAACATCGGTCTTTCTGAACAAACAGAGAAGGACTTTAACAGAGAGGACTCACAGTGAGAACTTGAGTAGGCAGTCTCCGCCGAGCACAGTCCGTCCTCGAGACCGCAGGTAGTCCACTAGGCTGCCCTGTGACACAGTTCACATTATCAACACATCATGTAGACGACACAACTAAACCATGTGTGGCTGCAGTAAAGAACAAATCCCTGAGCGTCAAAGTGTGAATGTGTTCTCAAACCCAGCTACATGGAGTTTTTCCCCAACATTTTAATTCACAAATTCGAACGGGCTGGGTTTGGAAACAAATTTAGAAATTATATTCAGGTTTGTTCCTGGTTGGGCTGATTTTAACATGTCTGTTATCGGGATAAACAAGCAATGACCTGTGAGGGACACGGTGACACAAAGTCAGTGCTGCTTATATTGACTGGCTCGGGCTCGGGTCAGGTTTGGACCAAAAACATATTGACTGAAGGGTTTGAATGTGACCTCAGACTCACTCCACTTAAAATATATTCTAAGGACATTTGTCATCTTTATTTTATTGATAGGACAATGGACAGCAAGTTTGAAATGGGGAGCGAGAGCAGGGGAAGACACACAGATAAGGGTTGGGTCAGAACCAAACTGCTGCTGGAGGAGTGAGGCCTCTGTAAGAGAGCACCAAGGAGGTTATGTTTTCATCTGCATTTGTTTGTTAGTTAACAGGATTACAAAAAAAACTATTGAACCAATTGCCATTTAGAACAAAGAACACATCCGGTTTTGAAACAGATCTGGATAAACTTGTGGAATGTGGATCAATTCTTTTCCAAGCGCTCTTCTAGTTGAGCAGATGTTTTTAGGTTATTGTTTGTGTAAGCTTTGATTGTTGTAAAGGGCTGGTAAAACAAATTCAAACCGTTTCTCCGGAAATAAATGGCTTTAATGGGACTGACCTTTGCCATGTACTCTGTGACGATGTAGAGACTGCCCCTCTCCTCGACAATGACTCCTAACAACTGCACCAGGTTGTTGTGCCTCAGTTGCCTGGAGAAACACAGAAGCAGGAACATATAGAGGGTTAAACTGCAAGAGCCCATTATAAGATTACTTAGAAATAATGATTTTTGCCCATAACCCAATGATAGAGGATGGTGTTACATATGAAAGAGGTATTTTATAGGTAGTGTAAAGGACAAGGACTGAAGAGCTGGCAGATCTTACGTCATGACAGATGCCTCAGCGATGAAAGCCTGCGCTGTGGCGTCATTTTTGATACACTTGACTGCCACCTTGGTCCCTCTGTAGTCTCCCACCATCACATCTGCGAAGGACACGAGCAGGGTTAAGTTTCATGACAATGTCCGAGACGTCCTTGGTCCGTGTTATTATTGCTCCTGTGTATGAAATTAAATGCTGTGATTGATCGTTGAAAAGCTCAGTTGCTCACCTCCAAACTCTCCTTTGCCGATGGTCTGGATCAGTTTCAGCTCCTTTCTGTTCAAGGCCCAGCCACCTGTCGAGAGAAGACAGAAGACGCAGTGAGAAGACATCACAGCTGAAGTATAAGATCATCGGGTTCATATCATCCTGTAACTTGTAAGCCCCTCTTCACTGGTCAAAAACCCATTAACACCAGCTAACATCTGGCTTTTGTCTGCAACAGGAATGGCTGCAATCAGCATTCACTCCTGCATCAAATGACTCTGCTGTAGACACAGCACAGAGATTTTAATCGGCTCTGGCTCCGATAGGCAGGGATGGAAACATGACACCCAGGTGAATTTGTTCAGACAGCACTGTGAGAGGGCATCTCAGTTTTCAGTGCATTTGTGACGTTGAACAAGACATACTGGAGAGAAAAAACAGAAAGGCAAACTCCTCTATATGTTTGGGGTGTAAAAGAGGTATTGTGTGATCCAGGGAA